TAGAAGGATGAGATCTAATAGCTATCAACTTTGATATATTGTAATGTTTTTCCAGGTTGATTTTTAAGGTTTTGGGGGGGGGGTGCTTACATTGAAGTAAAATAACTGTTGGCGTCTCACATTGAAATTTTTCCCATATCAGTCATGGAAGAAATTAAACTTTTTTTTTACTTATACATTTTCTAATAAATTCACCCTAAAAAGCAAACATCCACATTTTCACACACACACATATAGTGCAAGGATAGTTTGCATCATAAAGTTTTTTTAAACACATTTTTTTCTAACATTAGAAAGGCACTTGTTTATTCTGACTCCCATGTCACAATCTTCTTTTAAAAAATATAATATTGATAATAGCATTTGTTTTTGTTTTTAAAGTACGTTTTTATTCTGAAGGAAGGGATAGACAGAGAGGGAGAGAGGAGAATGAGAAAGAGGGAGAGAGAGAGAGAGAAAGAGAGGGGGAGAGAGAGAGAGAGAGAGAGACAGAGAGGGAGAGGGAGAGAGACAGAGACAGAGAGAGAGAGAGAGAGAGAGAGAGAGAGAGAGAGAGAGAGAGAGACCCTTGTTACAAATAGTCAGGCAAAACAAATTTCCACAGTGGCCATTTCCAAAAATGCCTGTCCTCTCTTTCTGCACCTTGTTTCCATAACTTCCTTGGAGTCATGGTTGGTCATTGCCTTGATCCAAGTTGGTAAGACTGCCAATTGTTTTTCCATACAGTATTACTGTGATAATGCAGTTTCATAGAGGAGACCAAGATGGCATAGTGCAAAGAGAACTGGGTTTGGACTCAGGACTTTTGTTGTTTACTCCTTTGTCCTTTAGAATAAATTGTTTCTCCTCTTTGGGCCGCAGTTTCATCATCTGTCAAATGAAGTGTTGGACCAGATGATCATTCAAAGCCTCTTCAAGAGCACTTTGTAAAGAGCATTTTATCAAATGAGATAAATTAGACAATCTGGGTAAAGCATTTCCTGGCTATAGAGAGGTAGATGATAATTGCTGTTATTACAATGGTTGGTTGGGGTCATCAGAAAAAAGAGTATAGCCTCAAACTGTCGATCATTTTTAGAATAAATAGTTTTTTTCTTTAATCATTAATCTCTGGAGTTTCTGTTAATGATGCTCTAAGTTATTTTTGTTCAGCCATGCACATAAGCTTAGAGGTTCCTAAGCTCAGGATACAAAATTAATTAGGTTAAGGCTCTAAAAAAATCATGCTCTGGAAAAGCAGAAAATTTCATTTGAATGCAGATTTACTCATTACTACTATTTCCTGTTACTACCAAAAGATAACTGCCATTAGTACCATATTTGCTGGCATTTTTTCCATCTCTGCTATTAGATATATTATCTTTACAATATTTTTAAAATTAATTTATTTTGATTTATCAACAATCACTTCCACAAGCTTTTGAATTTTAAATTTTTCTCCCCTTCCCTCCCCACCTCCCTCCCCAAGACAGCAAGCAATCTGATATTGGCTATACATATGCATTCCTATTAAACATATTTTCACATTAGTGATGTTGTAAGTAAGAATTAGAACCAATATGCAATATTTTTAATCATGGTAAAAGCTGATGAGATATTTGGAGAGCCTTCTGAGTGTTTTTAAGAGACAGCAAGGTGACATTTCAGTGCACAGAGTACTGGGCCTGGGAGTCAGGAAGACCTGAGTTCAAATCCCACCTCAGACACTTGCTAGCTATTTGACTCTGGGCAAGCCACTTAACCACTGTCTGCCTCAGTTTCCTTATCTGTTAAATGGGGATAATAATAGCACATGCCTTTTAGGCTTGTTGTGAGGATCAAATGAGATAATATTTGTGAATCACTTAGCATAGTGCCTGGCACATAGTAGGTACTATCGAAGTGTTAGCTATTATTATTATTTTTATTGTAATCTGAAAGTTTTTTAGACTTAGCTTGCCTGTCTTAATTGTATATGCATATACCTTAATAGGCTTTCCCAAATTTCCCAAAAATTCTATTCACACGCTCCATGTTTCAAAACACTTAAAATATGGAGATTCCCAATTTACAAAATAGATAAATTTGGGGGGTGGTTTTATTGCAGTACAAGCAACCCTGAATTGGAAGTCAGAAGTCCCAAGTTCAAATGTGTTCTCTACTAAAAAATCACGGTGAGAATGTAAGCAATTTACTTAAGCTCACAAGGATTTAGTATCCTCAACTGTAAAATGAGGAAGTTGGAATCGATGATATTATTATATCTATTCCAGCCTTAAATCTTATGGTCTCTAGCCTATGATCAATGCCTAACTTCAGAGCTCCTTTAATAAACCCCCTTAATGAACATGGATCCAGGATCTTATCAATATGGATTCTCCCTCTCCGAGTGAATACTGCAACCCATTCCCATCCCATGGGATTCTTGCCTGTAAATCATCAGTTGACCCATCCATCAGCTAAGTTGGTACAGTGGATAGACTACCTGGCCTGGAGTCATTGATGTTAAGTAGAGATTACTATAGAAACTGGAAGATCTTGTCCATTTCATATATAGTTGTTTGTCTGGAATTATGCCCTGCTCCAAAAAAAAAGTATATAGTTACTTTCATTTATAAGTACCTTTGGGATGCTTTAACTTGGTTGGTTTCCCACCACGATTTCTTTCTGATTCTGATTCTTCCTCACCTTCTTGCCTCCCAATTACTTTTTCCATGTCTTCAACAAGCATGTTTGCTAAATTTCTTGTGTCTGCTCATTCATTTCTCTTTCAGTCAGCCATCCATCCCTGGGGCTACAGGGTCTTCACATTTTTGGGTCTCATTTATAGCAAGAAATGTCAGTATGGATATGGTCCTATTCCTCTTGATGATGAAAATCTCTCCTTTCAGAACTAAGAACTAAATTAATATTTTTAGTCAGTCTAAAACTATACGAGGACATACTGCTCACTCTTCTCCCACTCTGCAACCGTCACTGTGAAAGCAGAAAAGAGCCCACACAGCATCAAGGACCATTTAAAAATGTATTTATTTATTTTTTGTTACATTTTGAGCTCCAATCTGTCTCTCTCCTTCCCTCCCAACCCCGCACTAGAGAAGGCCAACATTTGACACAGATAAATCTGTGAAACCACCCAATACATACTTCCATGTATCAGTTCCTTCTCTGGAGGTGGATAACATCTTCCTTCATGAGTCCTTTGTAGTTGATTTGAATATTCATATTACTCAGACTAGGTTAGTCATTCACGGTTATTCTCCAAACAATATTGCTGTTATTGTATACAATATTCTATTGGTTCTGCTTGCTTCACTCTTCATTATTTCATGCAAGTCTTTCCATGTTTTCCTAAAATCAACCTGCTTGTCATTCTTACAGCACAGTAGTAATCCATCAAAATCATATACCACAACTTATTCAGCCATTCCCCAATCAATGGGCATCCCTTCAATTTCCACTTCTTTTCCACCACAAATGCTACAGGTTTTCCCCAATCACCTTGGGAAACAGACCTAATAGTGGTATTGCTGGATCAAAAGGTATGCATGGTTTTATAACTCTTTGGGCATAATTCTAGATTACTCTCCCAAATGGTTGGATCAGTTCGCAGTTCCACTAACAGTGTATTAGTGTCCCAGTTTTTTCCACATACCCTCCAGCATTTGTCACTTTCCCCTTCTAATCATGATTTTAGCCAGTCTGATAGATGTGAGATGGATCAAAGACCATTTCCTATTTATTTGTTTCTCAGATTGCTGTAGCCAAGGAGTTTATCACCTCCCTACTCAATAAACACAAGTGGCTTATTATTGCCTCCAAAAACAAATATGAAATGCTCTGTTTGGCATTCAAAGACCTTCATAACCAAGCCCTCTCCTGACTTTCTAGTCTTCTTACACCTTTCTCCCCAACACATTCTCTTTGATCTAGTGACACTGGCCTCATGGCTGTTCCATGAACAAGACACTCCATCTCTCAGCTCCTGTTATTCTCTCTGGCTATCCCTCATGCCCGGAACGTTCTCACTCCTCCACTCCAACTGCTAGCTTCCCTGGCTCCTTTAAGTCCCGACTAAAATCCCAGGGCCATTGCTCTGTCATTTCCTATTTATCCTGTATATAGTTTGCCTTGTGTATATTGTTTTGCATTTTGTCTTCCCCATTAGATTATAAGCTCCATGAAGGCAAGGATTATTTCTTGCCTTTTTTGCATCCTGAGTGCTTAGTATAGTGCCTGGCGTGTAGTAGGCACTAAATGAATGTTTGTTTAATTGACTTGAACCTGTTTAAATCTCCTCCTACTTGCCTACTATGGTCCTGGGGTAGAAGACACAAACTTTTACAGACTGGCCTTTTAGAGCCTGTGCTTCAGGGAGATAAGGCCTTGAGAACACAGGATCAGTGACATCCATGCAATGATGAGACGCTGGCATAGGACTCTTGTGTTAGAGAACATCTCCCTTCCCGGTACATTTAAAATTTGATTTGACGTACAAAAAAAAAAAAAAAAAAGGCACACACTGCTTTTCAGCAGCCCACATTTTATATAAAGCAATGGTCACCATATTGATGGCTTGTTTGTCTTTCCTCCAGGGTGACCCTTTCAGATGATTTAAAAATAGGCTATTTCAAAACCGATCGTGCTACTCAAACAGATGTCACTGAAGTTTTGGAAATAAGAAAGCTAAGTGACACAACACAAAAACTAGTCAAGGTAATATCTTGACTTTCTTTTAAATTATTTCAATACTTTCAGATCCTTGTCTTAGTTTGTGTATTCTTCGTTGACTTTGTTTGTGTTTCTTGAATTATACTGTTTTATTTTTTCCTTTTAATGACATTCAGCAGCTCTTGGCAGCATTAATTACACCTCAGCGATGGTTATTTCATCAGTGAATATACTTAGCTTCCATTAATATTAATACATGTTAACTTGTGCAATGAAGTAGCAGTCTTGTTTTTCTCCCTGGGATTTGTCATATATCTGTGGAAATTTACTCAATTATATGTAGGGAGAAAAAGACTGAAACTGAAGCATATTCATCTATATATCCGTATGTGCATACACCTATGTGTACATCTATGGATTACAGTTGAAGAGCTGGAAGTGAACACAGAGCCCATATATACTCTGTCCCCTTCATTCTAAAGATGAGGAAACTGAGCCCCAGGGAAGTTAACTGACTTGCCCTCCCTCTCCAACTACCTTATATTTAGTTATTTTTGATTTATTTGTATTTATTCTCTTTATATTTTTTGTTTGTTATTATTATATAGGTACTTTTTACCTTCTTCATTAAAAGAGATTGAGATTAGGAATTGTTTCATTCTTTGTACTTATATTAATAGCATTTCACACAGTGCCTACTACACAGCTTAATAGATTCTTGTTGATTAATTCATTGTCCAACATATACCTATATATCTCTAGCTTTATATCAAAGTACTTACTTGCACATGTTATTTGGAGAAGAGTGAAGAACACATTTATAAATGGAACCCACGTGTATAACTAAAACCCATAAAAATAATTTTATTTTATTCCCCCCCCATGTAATAGTATTTTATTTTTTCCAATTATATATAAAGATAGTTTTCAACATTCACTTTTGTAAGATTTTGAGTTTCAAATTTTTTTCTCCCTCCTCCCCAAGATGACATGCAATCTGATATAGGTTATACATGTACAATCATATTAAACATATTTCCACATTAGTTGTGTTGTGAAAGAAGAATCAGAACAAAAAGGAAAAACCCATGAGAAAGAAAATTTTTTTTTTAAAAAGTGAAAATAGAATGCTTTGATCTGCATTCAGACTCCATAGTTCTTTCTCTGTATGTGGACAGCATTTTCCATCAAGAGTCTTTTGGAATTGTCTTAGATCATTGTATTGCTAAGAAGAACTAAGTCTATCAAAGTTGATCATCGCACAATGTTGCTGTTACTGTGTACAGTGTTCTGGTTCTGTTCATTTCACTCAGCATCAGTTCATGCAAGTCTATGAAGGTCATTTTAAAACACATTGCTGAAATCATGAATCCATTGAAGCAATGAAGTTCCTACTTTCTTGTTGACCAAAAGCCTTAAAAGGGTTGCTGACAAGAAGCAAACATACTCATCTGAGTTCCATTTCTCCTTAGTGGAAAGATCACTGAACGTGAAGTCAAGAGACCTGATCCTGTGTCTGCTATTTGCTGACTTTATGACCTTGAGTCACTTAACTTCCCTGGGCCTCAGTATCCCCGTCTGCAAAATGAAAGAAGGACTGAATGATCTCTAATGTTCCTTTCAGCTCTATCTCCTATGTGATCCCTTTCCCTACAGAAGAATTACTACAACTTTTCCCATTATTTTCAAAATTCCATGAAGCATGTTTAGCTGAGACTCATCTCAGATCCTTCACTTTAGGTCCAACCTTTAAGCCCATAGGCCAATACACTAAGACTCAATCCCTGAAACTGTTTCAGTGGGTCCCAAACTAACCCACTTATTTTTCTCTTTTTTTTTTTCTGGCATCTCAATGGGGGAGGTAGGACAAGGTAAAAACGTTGTTCCTGTTCACTATAGCAAGCCCCTGTAGAAGGCTATTGGGTCAATTCTGCCTTTTAAGCCAAAGACTACGTTATCTCTTTAGTTGTAATAGTGAGAGTAAACAGAGAATTAGGTAGGGATGATACGAAATGTGATCAGACCTGAATCCTCTCTCTCTCTCTCTCCTTCTCTCTCTCTCTCCCTCTCCCTCTCTCTCTCTCTCACAAACACACACGCGCACACACATACACACACACATCCCAAGCCTATACAGAATACTGGTATCTTTATTTTTGTATATAAAGCTTTGCCAGGAGTATTAGAAAGTCCAAGTACATCTTGTCCCCAGAAAAAGCACTACAAGTAGATGGAGTCGTTGGTTGCCTACACACTGTGATTTTATTACTGCAGCAGGAACCCATCTGCCTTTAAATATCTTCCCATTGGCCCTCCATGACAGTCTTTCCTGCCTTTGTAGCCTGAAATTCATACCATGAAAACTATTCCTTTGTGATAGCCAAGAAAGGGAAGAGCAAAATTAAAGGCTGTTGTTCAAATGAAATTTTCAATAAGCAAGGCAGTGTGGGGGGGGGGGGCGGGGAGTAGTGAGAATCACTTTAGCCTTTTGACATTGGTAAATATTCGTTTATCAAATGAATTAATTGTGTTGGCATGGGAGCATGGAATGCCAGCAAAGTAAAGGGAGAAGTTGTAAGGGGAGCGGAAAAGCCTGATAGATGGAATTAGATTCAGTTTTGAGTTCAGGCTTACCATTTACTAGTTGTGTAACCTGTCTAGTATCTCTGAACATGGGTTTCCTCGTCATCTGTAAAATGGAAGGAGGGAAGGGTTATAATATTTTCAGTACTTAATTTTCACTCAGTAATAGGACTGTTGATTGTTAAATGAGATCAAAATCTGTAAATCACTTTGTAATAGCCAAGCACCATATTAATATGAAGTGCTATGCAATCGTGTCCTGGGTTCATATCCTACTGGCATTTATTTGCCTTTGTAACCGAGACCTCTCTGGGTCTCAGTTTCCTTATTTGTAAAATGAAACAGTTGAACTAGATGACCTCTAAGGTTCCTTCCAGGTCTTAATCTGTAATCTTATGATTCAGTGATTACATCATCATGAAAGACAGGGAAGGAAGGATATATCTCTTAGCCCAGGGAAGGTCACTTAACCTCTGTTTGCCTCAATCTCCTCACTTATAAAATAGGCATGATGATAGCACCCATGTTTGTTGTGAGGATAGAATAAGATAATATTTCTAAGTGTTTTGGAAACCTTAGAGGACTATATAAATGCCAATTATTATTGTTTTTATTGTAATGGATTTCTCAGCTTAGGAGCCTGGGATGAGAGGACTGTGTGGTGAATAACTAGTTGGTCTACTTTAAAATCTTTTCTAGAGATGTTCCTATCTGAATCGAATAATACAGATTTTAATTTTTTTTTAGGTTACTACTCTCCTTCAACGAGATTTTAAATATCTCAAAATATACCTGGAGATGCAGTTTGAGGACCGCCTGAAAGAAGTATCCAATAAACTCCATAAAGAAATACAAATGATTATTGAGGAAATAGTAGCTCTTCATGAAAAGGTGTAATTCTGATTAGATGAGTTGTCTTGTTGGTTATGTGTTTATTTAGTGCTATTATGAATAAATCGAATAAAGCTAACAAGTTGATTTGCATATATGAGGTCCCCATTCTGTGCCTTGGGGTGCCCTTCCATGACTAGGCTAGAGCCAGAGAGAGCAGTGTTGATGACTATCCTTTTTTGAGGAATTTTCCAAGACTGTGGCTTCACAAGAACGTCCTGTCTAGAACAAAGAGCAGCCAGAATTTGACATTATCTGCTGTCTTGAATTGGAATAAGATTCTTGATCATTTTATTTTAAATGCAGTTTTAATTATGATAAAAAGCAGATATAATCTAACTTTTGACGATTCAGGAGCTGCTTATCCAGTTTATGAGTTATACCTCTGTCTTCCCCCATTCCCCTTGCTGAACATTTTACTGTGTATGATGCCTCTACGGCAAAGGACAGGGGCAAGGAGATGATATGAAATTCAGATGGATCTTTGTTACATTTCCAGCAGCTCTATCAAGAGGTTTAGGGAAGGCAGTTTAAACTATTGCCTAGAATGAAATTTCAGAATTAGCTGTGGACTTTGTTTACCCATATAATCCCTGACTTCTTGGATTATATATAATTGAGAATTAGATGTATTAGAAATAGATGTGGTATAGAGAATAGTATGAAGAAAAGTGATTTCAATTAGAAGCTTCCAGTTGATTGGAATAATGTGAATAACAGTTGTATATTATGAAAATTATCCTAGTGGGTGTGGTTAGGATGTACTGATAATTTCATTTGTATTTGAATTGCAGAATGAGGACACAATGAGAAAAAGCTTCTATAAGCAGCTGTGTGATGCCATTGCTTCTATCCGAGGGGCATATTCGGTAGGTTTTGTAGTAATGCAGTGTTTCCAATGGGACTGCATTTCAGTTAGGTGACCTGAATTCCAGGTCTTTTACTTCCAAGTCTGCCATCTTAAAATTAACCCCTCAGCAATCAGACCCTATGATAATTAACTTAATCAATTTATTGATTTATAGTGGCAGATACATCTGCCAGTAAATGCATGTCTGCTATCCAAATTGCCCCTTTTCTTGTATAGAGATTCATGGGAAACTGAATCAGTAATTATAATTATGATAATAATAGTTAACATTTATATGGTGCTTACTGTGGGCCAGGCACTGTGCTAAGCATTTTAACAATTATTATCTCATTTAATCCTCATAACAACCCTGAGAGGTAGGTGCTATTATTATCCTCATTTGACAGATGAGGAAACTGAGGCAAACAAAAGTTAAATGACTTGCCCAGGGTTCCAGGGTCACATGGCTAGTAAGGGACCCAAGAAGGATTTGAACTCAGTCCATCCTGACTTTAGGCCTAGCTTTCTATCTCCTGTGCCACCTAGCTGGCTCTAATCAGAAGGTTCTTTGTTGAACATGGCACAAGGTCAAAGAAATTAAATGATCATGAGGGATATTTAATAACTGACATTTACACTTTAAGGTTTGCAAAGCACTTTATATATGTTATCTCATCTTATCCTCACAACAATCCTATAAGATAGGTGACATTATTATCCCCCTTTATTATCTCATTCCCAAATGAAGAAACTGAGGCTGAGAGAAATTAGTGACTTGTCCAGGGTAACACAGCAAGTAAGTACATGAGGCAGGATTTGAACTCAGCTCCTAAGTCCAGGACACTATTGACCTATTCATCCAGAAGCATCTAAATATTTCATCTAGGCCAGACAGCATGATACTATGAATGGAGGGCTGGCCTCAGGGCCAGGAAGAGCCTCTGATATATACTTGCCATGTGTTTATATGTCCTGGAGGCCTCCTTGACAAGTCACCTGCTCTCCCAATGATCTGATCAGCTCTCTAAGACTCTGAGTTCCAGAAAAGGTGTCTGCTTCGGTAAAGAGGAGTTTCTTCATCCAGGAACGCCCTTTACCAGTGAGATACCAAGCCCCATCTCTATCACTATAATAGAGCACAATATTCCTGCACTACTCCTTTCTGTTATATGTGATATGTTTCTCCCTTGGACAGTATTGGTAGATTCTCATTCTCTGGCTCCTTTTGCTCTATGAAGACCATCACCCTTCTATTTGTGCTCACCCTTACAACATTTTCTTTTGTCATTTCAACCTACTTTCACAGCACAGCCCCCCCAACGTGACAGATTCATTGGTTATATGTTAGCTTGCCTGCTTTCTTCAACATAAGGTAGTCAATTACCTCAGTCTCAAATAGGAAACCGTTTCTAAAGCATATTATAGAATGGGTTACTTTTCTTTATTTCTTTTTTTTTTTGAGTGGGTTACTTCTAAGAGGTTTGGGTTTTTATTTTTGTCAGCAGTCAATGTGTGGGATCCTTCTTAATTTCAGTCAAAGAAAGCTTTATCCTCTTCCCATACTCTTCTATCTCTTTGGGTCTATAGCCTTCTGTCTATTTATGTATTATGGCACAATAACTCTAAGGCAATTAGTGATTATCAGCATGGCAACATTACATATATAATAGTAGGTGCTAAATATTTACATATAGTAGGTGCTAAATTAATAAATACTTGTACAACTGAATTGAATTGAAATAGTGGAAAGAATTGGATTTGGAGTGGTAGGACCTGGGGTTCAAGTCTTATTATCTGGGTGGCAATGGGCGAGGGTCTTAACCTCTCTAAATCTCTGTTTCCTATAAAATTAGAGGGTTGGACCAGATGGTCTCTAAAACCTTTTCCCATCTCATTATAATTCTTATGAATTGGCACTTTGATACTGAGGTAGAGCTGTACATTGTCAATCTGAAATGTTCAGCATAAATAAGGGTAATGTTCCAGGGCTACCTTATCATTATATCATTGATTTGAAATGATTCGTATAAAGATGGTACCCCTTCTGGAGCCACTCACCAGCTTCCACTAGTGCTGGTAGATTGGGGCCCTAGAGGACCTTCACGCCTTCTCTTCTGAATAGGAAGGAAGTCACTCAGGGTTTCTTTATATTTAGGTTGGGGCAGGAAATTCTTCTCAACTCCCATCGTCTATCCCCAGCCACCGGGGTACAGAGCACCAGTGTAAATTGTTTTGAAGTTATGATAAAACTCAAAGAGGCATTTAGGAGGTAGGAGTCAGTTGGTGACCTTTTCCTTGGTCACGGACACCTCTTCACCTCTCTGTGTATCAGTTTCCTTGTCTGTAAAATAAGGGGGATGGAGTAGTTGACCTGTGAGATTCCTTCCAGCTTTAAATCCATGACCCTATGACTTTCTGCTACTAACTCAGGTACACTTATTATTTGGCAGGAATGATATAGTCAATTATGTGTTCCAGTTTTAGAGATTAGAGTTTTGTATCATGGAAACTTTGTCACCCAAGGAGCATCCACAAGGGTACATTTTATACTACCAACTTCTGAATTTTTCTTTCTTGAACAATTTCTAGCTACTATTTCTCCCGATATTCTGGACTTGGTTGGATTTTCCATGACAGTTTCTTAATCTGGATTTAACTCCATTTGCTTTCAAAACTGTTTAAGATAAAAGTTGATAGTTTCATCGTATTGAAGGATCATATTGTATTCCTCATAATACTTGGGCTACAGGTTAAGGTCCTCTCTCTTAAATCTTAGGACTCCACTTTCCTTTATTCTGGGAGCCAGGAAGCCTGAAACTGTTCAAGGGCAGGTGCCTGCCTCCCTCAGTGCCCCTCCCCCCCTCCCCCCTCAGTGTGTTTGATCATGTTTTATATGCAGTGTCATTAGCATATTCAAATACTGCCTTAAAGCAACAGCAACTACCACCACCACCACCTTACAGCAATTTAGGATAGTGAAGGTGTTAAGTTTTCTGCCTGATTAACTAGTTAATTCCATTTTAATCTAAGATTATCCTTCTCAGTTTACTGAGATTCAGTATGCACAATAAGAGTATTCTTTGGGATTAATGTATGGATCTGATTTTTCAAGTTTAATATTTGGCAAATTAGCAAATGTAATGAGATTTGAGTTGAAGGAGAGGGTCTTTCCTCTGGGAAATTCCAAAACATTCTCGATAACCTTAGCTATCCATCTTTTAAAAAAATCTTCTTTCTTATCATTACGAGCTTGACAAATATCAACAAGTAAGAACATTTCCTTGCACAAAGAACTGCAGAAGAGCATTGTGTATGCCATTTTGAATCTGTAGGTTGTATTTATTCATTTTTTAAAATTTTTATTAATTTATTTTGATTTATCAACAATCACTTCCATATGCTTTTGAGTTTAAATTTTTTCTCCCCCTTTCTCCCCACCACCCTTCCCAAGATGGCGCACAATCTGATATAGGCTATACATATATATTCCTATTAAACATATTTTCACATTAGTGATGTTGTAAGTAAAAATTAGAACCAATAGGAAGAACCATCAGAAAGAGGAAACAGAACTCCATGGAAGAGATGAAAAAATAGCAATTCAACTTCCATAGTTCTTTCTTTGGATGTGGATAGCATTTTCCATCATGAGGCCTCTGGAGATGTCTTAGATCCTTGTATTGCTGGGAAGGGTTTAGTTTATCAATATTAGTCATCGCACAATGTAGTTGTTATTGCATACAATGTTCTCTTGGTTCTGCTCACTTCACTCAGCATCAGACCATACAAGTTTTTCCAGGTTTTTCTGAAGTCAGCCTGTTCATCATTTCTTATAGCACAATAGTATTCCATTACATTCAAATACCATAACTTGTTCAGCCGTTCCCCAATTGATGGGCATCCTCTCAATTTCCAATTCTTTACCACCACAAAAAGAGCTGCTATGAATATTTTTGTATATGTGGGTTGTAGATTGTATTTAACAGGTGTCAGGTAGGACTTCTTAAAAGTCTGTATTAAAGTTAACCTGCCTAGCCATCTTTTAAGCATCGATCTCATCCTGAGGATGCTATAAGTCCACCACAATCTCTAAAATATCAGACTGGAACCAAAAAGCACAGAGGGCTCTCCTGGTGGGTGTAAGCAAGCTGCAGCATATTACCAGGGATGTTATAAAAACGAAATGCATGTGGTGCAGTAGATGGAGGCTAGATTGGAGGTGGAGAGTGGGGGGAAGTGAGGAGGGGAGGTCAGATTCTGGCTGTACTACCTTATACCTATGTGACCTGGGGAAAATTACTTAACCTCTCTGAGCTTCCCTTTCCTCATCTATAAAATGAGAGTATTAGACTAGACTTCTGAGTTTCCTTTCAGGTTTGTATCTATGATCTCATAATAGTAATCATTAACATGTAACTGCTTTAGGTTTGTAAAGCACTTTACATTGTATCTCATTTGAGCCACACAATAGTTCACTAAGGGAGGTACTAGTATTATTATCCTCATTTTACCAAGGAAGAAATTGAGGCAGAGAGCAGTCAAGTGAATTGATCACACAACTACTAAGGGTTAGTTAAGTCAAAATTAGTCAGTTAGTTAGTCAAAATACTAAGCTGTATTTTGAACACAGCTCTTCCTGAGTTCAGGTTCAGAGGTCTATTTGCTACGCCCTAGTTTTCTCCTCCATCCTGTGATTCTCAAAGAAATTGATGATCAGAGAATGAAGTAGAGACCGTCATTCTAACAAATGCTAACAAAATGGATAGCCTGAGGGAGGCACTGGGATGAAGAGGAGAGGAAGATTTCTAGGGTTTCAATCAATTCAAGTCAAGCATTTATTGAGTGCCTACTAGTTGCAAGAAATTGTGCAAAGATAACAAACCAGTTTCTACCCTCAAGTGGCTTACATTCTACTATATACAAAATGTATGTGAAGTAAATATAGAGTGACATCTGAGAGGAACAGAATGGGAAATGGAGAAATGGAGAACCAAGGGCTAAGGAGGATGTACCTGAGCA